CTGGGCTGTTGTAAGGTTTGAGTGAGAGCAATGAATGTAAAACCAGAACGTGGGTAGGAGCTCACCCATCTCTAACTTATGTAAGACATAAACATCTTCTTCCTATTCTTGTGTTGATTCCATTATATTTAGAGGGTTCCAAGGGTCAGGAGTTTGTGTAAATCACAAACTACTCACTCCCACTTTCTGAGCCTTCTCCAGCCTGTCCTCTTGTTGGGGGCATGCGCTCCATCCCGACTTGTCCCTGCTCCTCACCTTCCTTCAGGAAGTCTTCCTTGCTAATGTCACCTCCACTCCCTAATTTTTCTCTATCTGGTTCGGTAGAAAAATAATACAAGCTACAAATATGATTTAAAATTTTCTAGTAGACACGTAAGTTATAAAAAAACAGGTGGAATTCATTTTAACAATATTTTACAGGACCCAGTCTATCCAAAATGTTATCATTTCAACACGCAATCAATACAATGATTGAGATCTTTTACATTTTTCCCTACTAAGTCTTCAAAATCTGATGTATATTTTATCCATACAGTACATCTCAATTTGGACTAGTCACATTTCAAGCGCACACTTCAACTACCCACATGTGGGTAGTGGCTCCGGTATTGGGTGGTGCAGGGCTAGGGCCCTACCTACTGCTCTCACTTCTTACTTGTCCTGGAAGTAGGTCTCATTCTTTCCTTCCTCAGAACATTCTTTCCCTGAGTGGCTTCCTTCTACCCTGTGCATCTTCCTCTAGGATGCAGCCCTGGGAGAAAAAAGGCTCAAAAAGTTCTTAATGAAATCTGGAGTGACGCTGGCCTGTGGCTGGCTAGCTTTCCTGCCCTACATGTTTGTGTCTGTCTGTGTTAGACTGAGACTTTCTTGAAGGCAAGGCTTTGTGTACCTCCCAGGGAGGTCTTCGGTTGAGGCTACAGCGAGGGGAGGGTGAAGTGGGAAGGCGCCTCCTCCGCCCTTCCCTGGGAGCAGCTCTGCTGCTCTGTTCTCACCTGCAGCACAGTTGCCTTGGGCACAACCAGCAGGATGTCAGAGCCACCGTCCGTCTCCTCCAGGGTCACCAGTTCATCCATGGGCCGTGGCTCTCGGAACTGGAAAGGGGGGCTCTGCCCACACACCCGGCCCTGGCGGTTCACGTATCGGAACTGGTAGAGCTGGGCTCCGGGTTTGGGCAGGTAGCTGGCTGTAGGAAGAAGAACGGACCCAGGACCCCAGTGTAATCCCAGGCCCTCGAGTGCTTGGCAGGTCCCCCTTCCCCTTGGTGTGTTTTATGATCCACTGTCTTTGGCTCCCCTTCCTCCCTGTTCCATAGACTGTTTCCTCTCTTCTCCACCTCCCACAGGCTGTATCTCATCCCTGGGATACTCTTCTCCCTCCTTTCTGCCCAGCTCCCTCTTTTCTCTCTTTCCAAACCTACCCTCCTTAATAATAAAAATTAAAAAATAATAATGCTAGTTACCATTTACTGAGTGCCCATTATGTACCAGGCACTGTGCTAACAGCTTTACCTGTATCATTTTAAATTCTCACATTGTCCCTAGAAGCCTGGTATCCTCTTTTACTGTTAAGATAACAGACACAGAGAGGTTAAGTAATTCACCCAAGGTCAAACAGCTTTTAAGTATTAGAGCTGAGATTTGAACCCAGGTCTTTCAGAATCTAATGACCATCTTCTTCTTCTTCTTCTTCTTTTTTTCACTCTCTTCTTAATATACGATGCCACCTTTCCCTCTTCCCTACCCCTTAGTTTCAAAGGAGGAAGTCCACCTTCTTTTGGTAGGAAGTGGGATTAGTGACCCTCTACAGTTTCTTCCACATCTGAATCCCTGATTCTGTGAAAACCCCATGATTCTATATCTATTGAGCCCACTATCCTCTTCCAAACCTCTATCCTCTTGACCTTTCCCTCCTGGTTTTCCACCTTCCCTTGTACCTTGGAACTGGACACTGGCGTGGATGGGGGAACCATCAGTTATACTTTCAGGCACCGAGGACCACACGAACGTGTGGTAATCCCGAACACAGGCAGCCTCCACCTGTGAAAACCCATGGTGGGAGAGGGGTACGGTGATGGAACCACCAGCTCTGGATGGTGGAAAGGACTGGAGGATTGAGCCGGGGGTGGGTAGGATGGTGTTGGAGTGGCAAGGATGATGAAAGACAGGGAAAGTGGGATGCTAATGTGTCAGAAGAGAGCAAGGCTAAGATGGGGAGGAGATGGGCTTTGCTGACACAGATGGCCTCTGTCATCTGTGACATCTTTCTCCCTTCTTCTCTATCACTGTGAGGTTGAGAATCCAGGAACCAAATCATTTCCCTTTTTCCAACTAACCCACGGCCTATAAGCTTGAGCCAAAATGGGTTTCAGGGATACCTTAAAGATGCCAATCCAGTCGCTGGCACTGGGCACGGCGCCTGGGGGAAGTGTGTAGTGACATTCCACCTTGGTATTGGGAACGTAGGTCCGGGCTACATTCAGAAAGTTGACTCCACCTCGGGATGGTGCCCGGCTTAGTGATGATTCTTCCATTCTGCCCTTGAGATATTGTCCCTCCTATGAAACAAAGATTTAATATCCTAAAGTCTCCCCCTCCACCTCTTTGCCCCTCAACTCTGTCCCCACCTACCCATAGCCCCTGCTACAATACCTAGAAACTCAGGCATATCTGGTTTCTAGCTCCTGAGGGTTACAGGACCCTTAAAAGGTATTAATCTTAGTCTCTAGGGCATAGGTCTGGCCTTCTGAGTCAGTACGCATCCTGCCTCACACTGCCCTCTTTGGGTCATAGGCTCTTCCTAAAGTTAAGCTTTCTCTAATTTCTGCTCCCTTTTCACAGCCCCAATGACCAAGCCCCAGTATCTCAGGATCTGCCCTCCTCAGTCCCTCCTTTTCCATCTCTTAATAGCCTTGGGCATTCTAAATTCTTCAGCCTCCATCTCCCCATCCCATCCCCCACATCATCTGACCCCTAAATTCAAAATCCAACTGAGTGTGGGGCCCCCTCATTCTAAGTGGGTTTCCTTGCCCACTCCAGCTGTATCTGGGAATGATTTATGATGCTTGAAAATGGCAACTAATGTTGTGAGTCTTCAGAGCTGGAATATGGTTGGGGGATTCTCCCCATATCTCAGCTGTCTACTGCCATGAATAAAAGGAAGCTTGCACTCTCATTCCAGAGACAGGAAGAGGGAGGATATAAGGAAAGTAGGTTCTGTCCCTCAGTCTTTACTCCAGGAAGTCAAGAATTCTGGAGGCGGCTGCTTCAAGGGTGGAGTGAAACACTCAGCAGGAACATGCTGCTGTAGGGAGATGGAATGTGGGGGCCTGGAGCCAGGAAAGCCCCACCCCCAGGTAGGGAAATAAGTGACCCTGGGAAGGGGAAATGTACACATAATGTTGAGAGAAGGAAAGAGAGTCCAAAAAGAACCTCACATTCTTCTCTTCAGGTCTTGCCAAGAGCAGGGTTAGAAACCTACTGTTAACCCAGCTCTGGTGTTTCCCTCCCCATTTTCTGTCCCCTCCCCTTAGCCTCAATTCTAAGTGCGTGAACCCTTCCATCTGCTTGGAACGGTAGTTGGAGGCATGCTATAGGATGGGATTGAAAGGAAGGGGTGTTCCAAGTTAGGTGGGGAGAGTTCATTAGAAAATATGGGGGTGGGGTGAGGAATGATAACAACAACAATCAAGAGAACCCCTCAGCCCAGGGTTGTGAGATGCCCCATTATCTCTCCTCTTCAGCCCACTATCTTCATCCTGTGTCAGCCACAGCTGATGGATGTCCAATCAGACATGGCCATTAGTCACGTGCACACCCCAAAACATCACAAACCCACACCAGGTTGAAGTCAGGGGGGAAGAGACTTTAAAAGAAGACAAAAAACTAAGTAGAGATGGAAGGGTGGGCCAGCTCTACAAAAAGGAGCTACTTCTCCCTCCAAAATAGAGACTGAATTGAAGACAAGAGATTTCCCTGAATTTTCATGTCTTTGAAAAATCCCTACTTAAAACTAGTCCATGTTTTTTTTCCAAATACAATTCTTGTGGCTTTCTAAGAGGGGGTGAATTGTTCTCAAGGATCTAAGCCTGGAGAACCCCACATATTCCCCACAAACAAAATTCATAACAGCTGGAAATATCCCCCAGGCCTGAAAGAGAGCTCTGGACACCTAAGGTATATACAGATTCAGCCATTCCCCCACGCTGTAGGGCGCTACAGTTCTTTGACAATCTACACCTTGGAAGGTTTTTTTCCCCCCAGGGATTCCGCGTAGTAAAGGGCTTTGGACTGGTGGGGGTGCGGAGGTGGCGGTGGAAAGGAAACGTTTGCGGGGCCAAGTCCTGCCGGGCCGAGACTGAGCAGACTTCAGCCTCGCCCCAAACTCCTTTAAGCGTATCAAGCTTTATAGAGAAGAACTGATAGGTAGGCGAGAACAGTGAGGGGGCACCCCCTTGATTAGGGCTCTCCTGAGACCAAGACTCCCAAAACAGTGGGGGTGGCTTCTCCAGTACGTAAAGCGTTAACACCCAAAAGCTCCTACATCCCCCTTCTATGTTCCCTTAGATTATCTTTTCGCAGACTGGAAAGTAGGGTGATCCCCCCCATAAGTTCGCCCCCAAATTAGGCCAAGTTTCTTACCCCACAGACGGATCAGCTGTTCCCTCACCTTTCACCAACAACAAAAACAGCACTCCGACTCAGAGAGGGGAGGGAGACGGGTGGGCGCGCGGCCTTCTGGGGTTTGTGGTTCCTCCGTGCCCTTTTGCCGGCGAGCAAGCACAGAATTGGGACTACATATCCCAGGAGGCTGGGTGTAAGGGGGGGCGGAGTAGAGGGCGGGCTTGGCGTCCGCCTCACCGCGGCATCCTGGGAGACGTAGTTCTCAGTTCCATGGCAGCAAGCGAGGGTGTGGCAACCAAAGGACTTCACGGCCCATGATTCCTCAGGAGGGGGCAGGCTAAATTAGTGGCGACGGCTGGTTGGTAACGTGCGTGGTTGGGGGGCGGGGAGAAGTTACGGCTCTAACGCCCCGTGTTTTATACTCTGGGCCCAACGAGTTCAGGTACATGCTCTCGTTTACTTTTAACAGCAACCTGTGAGATAGGCAGTTTTGTTACCTACTCTTTATAGATGAAGAAATTAAAGCCCAGAACGGTTACAGAATCGGTCTAAAGTATCAAAGCTATGAAGGTGGTAGAACACCAGGGTTGCACGACTACCAAGCGTTCTCATCCCTACGTCACAGCTACTTACCGTTTAGGGGATAGGAAGCTAGTAACTGTGGTAGCAGTTTCTTCTTTGCTCCAACCCCAGGGACAGCCCTTGTGAAAACTGTGCTGTGCACCGCTGACGACTTTTTTCCAACTCGAGGGTTTCAATGTCAGGGGCCTGCCAATACTACACTCCTGGACTGAGCTACCCGGAGTGTCCTCTTGGTCCAGGAGGAGAATCTATTGTCTGAGGTGGTGAAGGTGGGGAGAGGAGGGAGATGAAGCGAGAAGAATCAAGTTGAAAAGGGAACCTGGCGTTAATTCAGGACAGGTCACAATTCAGAAAGAAGACACTTAGGGGGCTAGTTAGCCCAAACATTTTAACTGGCTTAAATTCATTGGGATAACAGTACACGTTGTTGCTCCTGTTTTTATTTGGGAGAGGTGAAAGATTCACACTCCTCCTACCCCGGGAGTCACTGGTAAAGACTTAGGCATCCTTCTCCCTCTCCCTCTCCAGACCCTAGGAGTAGTCTGAGGCATTCAAAATGATCTCTCTCTCTGTCTCTGTCTTAAGGGGTTACAGTCTAAGGATTGATTTGCACTTCTTGGGTGCGTGTTTTCATTCTCTGCTGCACTAAGTTAGGGAGCCTCTGCCTTTTCCAAATTTTGGGGTACTATTTTGCTTTTATGACTGAATAGGGTGTCTGGTGCCTGCCCTGGGGTGTCTTTCATCTGAAGATCTCCAAGCACTTAACAATAAGTCATTGGGCTTCACAAACATTAAGGTGACATGTTTGTGTCATTAGTCAGGATTTATGATTAGGGAACAAGCTATTTGTTGCAGAGCCAGCTCAAGGTCCTGGGGTGTTTCAAGAGTGAGGCCTATTCAGGATCTTAAGTCTCAGTTGTTCATGGTTTTTGTCTTCTACCCAGAATAAAAGCTTAAAAGAAAAGTCAGTCTCAACTGGAGCTAAAAAAAATAACAATGTCCATTTATTGAGTGTCTACAATGTGTTTAAACTATGCTAAGGATTTTTCCATTTAATACAACAGTCTTATGTAGTATGCCCTATTCTTATCCCCATTTTACATATGATGAAGATTGAGGCACAGACAATTATGTCGCTTACCTGGGATCATTCAACTAGTAAGTTGTGGAACCAGGATTTAGGCTTAACTAGTCAGTACACTATACTACCACCCCAGAAACTCCTGGTGTGGGCTTCTAACTACCTTTGTCCTAAGGAACAAAAGTGCTGTTGATCAGGGGACAAATGTTCACTGAGCATTTATGTACAAGGTGCAAGGTGATGTGAAACAGATTAATTCAACAAATAGGTGTGTGAGGTGCTATGCTAGGTATCCAATAAATTTTGTTGAAGGAATGAATATAAAATAGAGATATTTAAAGGATGGCTTTGGATAGCTTAACAGGACGGGATCTGGGAAAGACAAGCTTAAGTTAGGCTGAAGCAAAGATGCAGCGATGGAAATGTATAATGTTTACTGGATCCTAGAGGGTCACATAAGAACAGCACATCAATTTCAATTTTTTTCTTAAACTCAGATTATTAGTAATGACTGCCTGAAATGTTGTGTTGAGAAGGATTCTGAGGAGAGTGCTAGGATTAATTAGTAATGTATAGCATGTACTCCAGATGGAAGATGGTTGTTGTATTAGACTGACTTGTTTGAATTTATTTGACCTTCCCTGCCCATGGCCAAGTGACTTGCAGTACCTCCTGTGGAAGGAGTTTATGTTTCATTTCATTGACTTTGGACACCATCATTTTTCATGTTTTGGCCAATGGGATGTGAACAGATGTGACTCATGCCATGTTTGAGCATGTGAATTCACCCTTTCCTGTTCTTCTCTGCCACTAGAATGGGCATTTTCCACATGAGGGCTGCTGCTTCTGCCTGGGTCCTTGAGTGAGAAGACCTGCCCATGGCCTACTTATGTGTAAGTCAGAAATAAATCTTTGTTGCTGTTAAGTCACTGAGATTTTGGGATTGGTTGTTATAGCAGCAAAGCTGACTAATAGCCATACTCGGATAATGGTATTAAGTTTGAAAGGTAAAAGGTATCAATTTTGAAACATCAAATTTGAAAGGTGAGTTTAAGCCAGGATATGGAGAATCTTGAATACTAGATGAGTCAGAGTCTGCTATGTATTTATCAGAATCTCTTTCCTTCTTTCTCTTGGACACAGAGCTGGACCACACTTGTCAGTTTCCCTCCATGTGATGTGTTGCACTTCCAGGCCTGGCCCGTGAAACCTCCCAAGGGAGATCCTTCGCATTCTTTCCTTTTTGGCTTAATGCATATGACCTTAATCACAGTGACTTTGAATGCTAAATATTAAAGATGGTGGGCCACAGGTTGGAATTCACCTAGTTTCGTAAATCACTACTTGGCAGAGAACTGCCTACTAATTAGGAACATGTGTTTTGGACTTCACTTGACCAAAAAAAAATCAACTTTTATTCTGTTAAACCACTAACATTTTGGGCTTTCTGTTTTATAGTAGCTGGTGTTTTCTGTCAAGTTAAAAGGTTTGGACTTGATTCCCATTAGGAGTAGGAAGTTAGTCACTGAGGATTTTTTAATGAGGGGACTAGTACTATAAAGATGAGTGGAAGTGACAGTTGTAGGGATTAAAGAATGCTTCTGAGTGAGGTTGTGAGATCTTGGGACTTTTGATGTTTTCAGGATACAAACTAACTCCTGATGGGGCTGGGGGAAAATTGACGTGATCTTTGGAAGGCTTTCTAGAGGTGGTCGGAGGAGCTGCCACTCAATGAATCCTATCTTCCTGAAGTTTAGAGTCTCTTTTCTCTTTTGTAATAGTCCTAACTCTGGTTTGCATCATCTGGCCCAGTGCCTGATAATAAATGTGTAATGGAAGCAGGTCCTGGGCTGCTGGAGTGCTTGGAGGAGCTACTGCTAGTTGAGTGCCTAGTATGTGAGAAGTCCCTTTCACCCATCAAATCATCACGATAACCCTGCAAGATGCTACCAAATTTTACAGATGAAGAAACTGCAACTCTAAAAGGAACTTGCCTAAGATCTCTCAGAACAATCTTATTTTGAAACCCATACTTTTCCCATATAACAAGATGCTTTCTGAGAAAATCATAATGGCTAGTATTTACTGAGTGCCTGCCATGTGCCAGGCGCTCTGCTGGGTGCTTTACAAACATACAGAAGCAGCTGGTGTATCAGACATTGTAGCCTGTTACTAGTGTTTCCAAACTGTGGACTCTGTGGGAAGTAGGTATCTTAGTCTGCTCCGGCTGCCATAATAGAGTATCATAGAAATGGGTGGCACAAATGACAAGAATTTATTTCTGATGTTTCTGGAAGCTGGAAAGTCCAAGGTCAAGGTGCTGGCTGCTTTGGTTCCTGACGAGGGCTCTCTTCCCAGCTTGTAGACAGCCGAGTTCTCACTATGTCCTCACGTGGAAGAGAGTGAGGAAAGGCAACCTGACTGATCTCTTCTTATAAGACCACTAATCCCACCATGAGGTCCCCACCCTCATGACCTCATCTAACCCTAATTACCTCCCAAACACCATCACATTGCTGTTTAGGGTTTCAACGTATGGCTTTTGAATGGACACGAACAATCAGTCTGTAACAGTAGAAAAAACATTAACATTATTTTAGGGCAAGGTTTGATTGTTTTGGACTTCTCTTTAGGACCCCTGACCCATTTTCTTTTTTCTTTTGGTTCTTTGGCTCCATTTCTTCCGGCTAGGTGGAAGGGTGGTTTAGGGTTCTCACTAATACCCAGGTCCTGCAGCTCCCCCTTCACTCCATGGACTCACAGACCCACTCTAATCTCAAAGTGTTCAAATCACCTTAGTCTTCCTTTATTAGTAGGGAGAAGATGCGGCTCTGAGAACTCATCCATCTACTTAATCTCATTCATTTATAGTTATTTATTCAACAGATTTGTAAATTAAGCATTATGTGTCGACTGCTGGAATAATAGCCAATGATAGCGTAGCTTTCTGGTTTCAAAAGCTTTTTATGTTCCTGGGCTGATCTGATCCTCACAGCCGATACTCTGAAATGGCTTGTATTATTACTGTGCAATTTTTATCAATGAAGAAACCAAGGCTCAGAAATACTAGATAACTTGACGAAAGTCACAGAGCTAGTATGATATTCAAGAATTTCTGACTCCCAGATGCTTCCCTCTGTCCTCTACATCCATTGCAGTCCACATTCTACAGTGCCTTATGCCTGGTTTCTTGCCCTTTTGGCCTCATTACCTTGATTTGTTTATTAGAGTAGCTGTAACAGCTGCAGCAGATGACCCCCAGATCTCAGTGTCTTAACATGATAAAGACTTATGTATCACATAGTCCAGTGTGGATATTTGTGGTCAGGTAACTCAGGAAGCCAGATCTGTTCATGCTGTGGGTCTGTCGTCTTAAATATGTGCCCTTGGGGTGCCCAGGTGTCATCCTGCCAGCAGATGGGGAAAAGTAGGCACATGGAGAAGCCACAACCACTCAACTTCCTCAGCTTGGAAGTAACACATCACTTCAGCTTATATTCCATTGGTGATAACCAGTTATATGGCCTCACCTCCCTGCAAGGGTGCCAGAGATTGAATTTAGACATCTGCCAATTTCTCTTTCTGTTAACCTGGGGTTGAGTCAACATTCTAGATTCGGTTGAATTGTCCTTGGGGGAAAGGTGCCTCTGAAAAGAACTTTAGGTGTTGGTAGGGCGTTAGGCCACCTGCTGACTGATCATAGAAGTGGCCTTTTCCCCTTAAGAGAATGTTATTCCTGTGGAGCTAGGCCTTCCTGGCCACCTTTCTGTAATTCCAGACTTGCTCTTAAAGAAGATGGAGGGTGGTTCAGAAATTCAGGTGCTAGGAGAAACAGAGGAGCCAATCATAGATAAAATAAAGAATGTGTGTGTGTGTGTGTGTGTGTGTGTGTGTGTGTGTAGATACCATTAAGAGCAGGCTGGGATTACAAAGACAATAGATGTTCATCTGCACTGTTCATAACATTTGCACATTAATTAGTACACATAAAAATGCATAAAGACCCCCCCAAGCCTCAGTTCCTCTCCTAATGAGGAATCATTCTTCTCCTCTTTTCTGGTTGCACCCCCAAAACCCCTAGTTCCTGTGGTGTAAGATTGGGCTGGTCATACTCGAAAAGAAAGTGGTTGGCCTCCCTCCTGCCATCTGGGGGAACTTCCCTTTGTGCCTGGGTCAGAGCTGTGGGGGACGGAGCAGCTGTTTAGACACCAGGATCCCTGCAGAGATTGGCTCAGTCTGGTCTCAGGGGGTGCCCTTGTCTGTATCTATCTGGGTCCCTCTTTCTGATTCTTTTCACTCACTGATTGTGTGGCATTTTGGAGGGTGGAGTGCCTGGGCACCCAGCCCACTACATCCCGCCCCAATCTGGCCCTGGGCATGAGCCACATGGTGCAGGCCATCAGCCTGGCCTCTTGCCCATCCATTATAGCCTCAGCTGCCAGACTGGCACAGGTATCCAAAAGAACTTCGACTCGGCCCTGCCCTCCCCCAGTTCTGTTCCTGGGACCGAAGTGGAGGAGAGTCAGATGGAGAGAGCACACTCTGGGGTGGGGAGGCGGAAGGGGGCATCTGTACCTTGGGGAGGACTGCCGAGGGGCTAGGCTGTAGTCCATGCAGGGCCACCTTAGTGTGTGTCTGGGTCAGGGGCAGTGTTGGGGGAGGTAGTACCAGTTGCTACAGCGTGAAGGAAGACTCCCTGCTAGGTCCTAGGAGATGTTTCCCTTCCTCCCTCTGTGTCTGTGCACATCATGAGAACTTGTGCATGTTTCCTGCCTGTGGGCACATCCCCTGGTGGGATGGTGCGCAGGGCTCTGAAACTGCAGGAAAGGGGCTTTAGCTATGGCCAGGTAGCACAGAGATGAACCTGGAGTGAATATTGCGTGTCAGGACATATGAATCTGTCCCATGTGGGAATGACATCCGTGGAGACTGCTGTTAGGATACGGGAGAAGTACAAGCATGGCTGAGGCACAGGGCGTCTTAGTCCTCTGGTATGGACCAACTCTATCTGCTCTCTGGGGCACATGAGTACCATATACACCGACCCTGGTTATGGAAGGCAACTCGTTCCTGAGAGCAGTGGCCTGTCCGGGTGTGGACTGTGTCTGTGCATGGGCAGGGAGGGATGCTCTTGGTAGGTGTGCCCCTGGAGAGTGCTGCTCATGCCTTGCCTTTACACTCATGTGAATTGTATGTTCACATAGGTGAATCCTCTGGAAAGACGTTGGGTGGGGAGGGGGTGGAAAGCCTGAAAAAGATGGGAGAATTTATGAGCTGCTTTTGTCGGGAGACAGTCGTAATGAAGAAAATTCAATTTTCTGCAGCTCGAAGAGTCAATATGTTAAATCTTGGAGAAGCTGTGGAGTGACAGCGGAATGGCAAAGTCAATGGGACGTGTGTGGGGGGAAGCCGTCTATCTGTGTCTGCAGTAAGGCTGCCTCCTCTCTCTACCCTTGAACTGCAGCTGGGGACAGGATGCAACCAGATACCTGAGTTCCTGGAACGGTTCTCCTCTCCCTTCCTCCTCCACCTCAGTGGGCATCTTCTCCTGCCTCCTGCTTATAGGGAGAAAAGCTGCTCTTTCCCAGACCCAATCCTACCCTAGCAGTGCCTCAGGAAGTCCTTCTTGTAGTCTAACCAGCACTCTCTCTTGCTGCAGCTACTAATGACAGAGTGGCTGTTTATAGCCCAAAGTGATTAGTAGGAAAATTCTTTTTTCTTTCTAACTTTTCATCCCCACTCTCCCCTCAGCTCCTCCATGGCTGGCCTCCTGTTTCTCAGCAAGTTTCAACTTTTTCCTAACCAGTCTTTAGTGCCTCCTTTCCAGCCTCCTGTTCTAGGAGGCAGGAGCATGGGGGTTGGGGGGTGGGGTGGGAAGAGGGAAGCTGGGGAT